AGATGTGTATAAGAGACTGGATTTAGACACATGAAAACTAATTCCGTCACAACTTGAATTGGACACACACAGATCGTTCCAAGCTATGTACAAAAATTAAAATTTGCTTAATTAAAAGCTTAATAGTTGTTGATTAAAAGCGTAATTAAGTAGTGTTCAATATTCATTAGTGTTCTAATTCAAAGCCGTGTTGTATTCCAATACAGCTCACACAGCAAATGGAATTCGAACACGTGGATGACGGCATTACATATCAGTCGAATTTAAAGCGCGGACGGAATACGCCTCACCACGTGCCAAATATTGCCACACACAGTGTCGGAATATAGGGATTTGGTAGGTTTGCATTCTAAGGGCTTTTAAATAAATATGGTAACATTTTGTGACGTTTCATCGTTGCTGGCGCGTAGTACGGTGTTTTGCGAGTCACATAAAGCAAACAGAACTCGAGTAACGCATACGATTATTTTTTTATAGTTTTTCATTTCTCAATGCGTCCTTAATGTGTCGGAATATACCGCGTTTACCCTAGGTACTTTTTATGTGTCATTTTTTGCAAATTTTATGCATACTAGGTAGGACTGGTAGGTATTCCAGATTGGCTAGGTTAGTAGGTAGCTAGTCAGGAATCATGATCACTCCAATCTCCATATAATTCAATGATTAATTTGGTATTTTAAAAAAATGAGATAGGTTAGTACCAGATAAAAAATAAAGATAGTATTAAATTGTTTTAATTTATTTATACCACTTTAATTACTTGAATGTTTCTTATCCCCTTATTTACATCTGAGTGTTAACCTAGGCCTAATCTGGCATTTTAGTCAAAATTTTATAAAAGTTGTGAATGTAAGCTTATTTAATGGCTAAAGATGAAACTGCACTGTAGTACTATAGGGTCAGCCAAATTCTTTAAAAGCACAGATAAAGATATCATGCTCATTGCTCAGTCTGGGATATTAGACAGAACATAGAAGTTTCTGAAAATTGTAGGTTTGAACTTTGAAGGTAGATTTTATGAGTGATTTAAAAATTTAGGTATATTTTCATATGTAAAATATGTTATTTTTATTTTTTTGATAAAGTAATTTGGAGAAGGTCATACTCATAGGAACCCATTCCTGAAAAATCAGGCTGAATCTATTTGTACATGTTAAAAATATAAATTCTTGTTATAAATTTTAGCTATTTTAGTTTTTTTATAGGCTATGGCTTGTTTCTAATTTCTTCATAAAAAATACAGAAATGGCACATTTTAGACTTAATTTTTCAAAATTGACTATAAAATGATTTCTTTCACTTAGGGTGCAAACTTTGGAAAATGAATTGCCAAGTTATGGTTCTTGAGCCCAAAATATTTTCAGCAGTATTCAGGATGAGTTGTCAAGTAATTTATAATAAAAAAACTGCTAAAAATACAAAGAGTAGATATATATAACACTTTCCAGGCACTGCAGCACATATTGAAATATGAATTTATAATTTATGACTGATGCAAAAGCCTCATAATGCAAAAGTTTTAAAAACTACTGTTATTTACCATACCTTTTAATTGATATAGCAGAATCCCACTATTACACCATAACTCAATCTAGTTTGAAATTTGAAATAATAATAACCAAGGAATCCAATCCTATTCCAATCAAGTGATTAATTGTTTAAAACTAATTTGAACTAAATATTTTGTATGGTATTTTAGTCTAACTAACTTGGATTTTGTTTAATTAACTTAGGTACGGTAATCATTAGCATCTAATTGAAAGATCTATTGTTGCAGTTGAGTTGGTTGCATTTAATAACAAGAGCTGAGAAAACAAAATTGCCTGTCAAAATTGATCTTCAGAACTTTTTTAAGCTTAGTTTTGCCTAGGTCATAACTGTCTTAATTTCTCAATGCTACGATACTCATTAATAAAAGATCATTTCTCAATACTACTCATTAATATGAGATCATTTCTCAATACAACTCATTAATACAAGAACATTTATCAATACAACAACTCATTAAAACAAGAAACCTAAGATCAGTCGAGTTAGTTCCTTTAAAATTTGTCTTCATGTTCCTCCATTTTGAAACCATCAATACTTTTTGAAAATTGCATCCATTGATTTTTTTATATGGTAATAATTAAATAATCCACTTTTACAGGCTCTTCTTCAGCTGATTAAACACTGTCATGAAGAAGGCACAGGAACAACTGATGTAGCTCAAGGTGTGCTTCTGGGACTGATGGTGAAAGATGTCCTGGAAGTGACCAATTGCTTCCCTTTCCCAACACATGCTGAAGATCTTGATGTTGGTAAGTTAAGAAATCTTGATTTTCTTTAGTGTTTTCTGAAGCGAATTAACTGTCACAAAGCATTTTATCCAAGTCCGGTAAATATATGACTTGCAAATTGCAAGATGTGTTGCATCCAACAGGTATTTCTCTGCATCAAACTCAGCCACTGCTAGTTTTCTAACCAACCAGAACTCTGCAGCATGACTCTCAACCAGCTAGGCCCTCTGGCTTACTAGGCCCTCCATTAACCAGCTCAACTTTGAGACTAGAGCCTTCTCTCTTTTCAAGAAGACAGCCTTTCATTCCTAGTTAATGTACCCATGGGGCTCATTTTTGTGGATGGGTTGCTTGCAAAAATTCTGAAAAACTTGATCATGGGTCTCTCCTTGATGTCAAATCAGAAGGCAAACTTTTGTTCAGAGCCTCAATTGTTTAAACCCAAAGGAGAGGTTTTTAGGCTTGCATCTCTAATTATGCATATACTCTTGAAAGGAAATTATTCCCAGAAATTTTTAGTCTGAATGCAGTGCTTTTTAGCGCATTTTCTCATGGAAAAAATGCACTATTGTGCTCGTCATGTCCGTCTGTTGGTCTGTCCGTCTGTGACTTAATGTTTTCGTCGATGAGAAAATGCGCTCTCTGTCACTCACTGTAGTGAGTACCTACTGAGTAATATTTAAAAAAAATGTGCCATGGCCAAATTTGTTCTCCAATCAAGCTTAAATTTACAAAGTCTCTTGAGGACCCTTAGAACTACTCAGCCTACTCATGGTGCTCACTTAGAACTACTCAGCCTGCTCATGGTGCCACCTTACAATATATATTGCTGCTGTAGATGGGCAGGTGGTGTTGTTTTAGAAGACACATAATCTGACTGCAAATAATTAATTAGTAAGGACATATATAATGATGATTAAATTGTGTATTTTGGAATGAATTGGTGTAAAAACATTTCACATGTAAGGCATAAGGAGAGTACATGGTGGTACATATAAATAAAGTTTTAGTATGGGACTACATTTAAGTGCAATTAAATGCAATAGTATATAAACTATGCAGCAGATCAAGCTGCATAAGGTTTTCAGAACTCCTAGGTTTTATGCCAGTTATTGCTTTGTTGTATTACCAGGGTGAAATGTGCTGAATGAAGTTACAATGATGCCTCAGGATCCCCTAAGGATATATTTTTGTGATCAATTAGCATGCATAACTATACTAACAGCCACAGGAATGCAAATTTAAATGGGCACCTGACATAATTTACTAGTTTTTTGTCTTTTGTAGTGACAGTGAAATATTGTAGGGTTAGGTTAGGATTGGGCAGGTTTGGATAGGATTGCTTAGTTTAGGTTAGAAATATATATGAGATGTTTAGAAATATGGGTGGCAATGTATTTGTAAGTAGTTGTTGTATAGTTGTATATTTTTGATATTTTTTATGTGTTTTGTATTGAATTGGATAGCATGTTGTAATTAGAGCAAATGGGGGAATGTATATGTTGGTGGTTTCTGGTTTGACCACTTAATGGCCTCCTTTGTATTGGGCAGTGATTAGCCTGCCAGCTCACATGAAGTAGCTAGGTTTGCTCTAATTAAGAAGCTGCTATTCATATACTTAAAGCTTTGTATAAGATGCACCATTCAAGCTACCTAATATTTTATGAATTTATAGCGAAGTTTTCTTCCATGCATCCTGACCTGAAAGCTATCACTCCCATATTCTTCTCAGCACCTCCTCTGCTATTATTTCTGTACTTATCAGGCTATCATTCTTCGGGAAAAGCTAATCTGAGGAGTACCCTTTCTCACTCTCTTCTGTTGTCTGTTTATCTTTTCACTTATCCTGCTGATTCATGCCAATCAACTGAGCAGGAGCTTATTATCCTGCCTCTTAGCATTATTTGATAATTGATGAATCTCTTCCACATTGTGCAGAGTATTTGAATGTAATATACCGTAACAAGAATGGTACCGTACTATAAGCATATCACTCTAAATTTATTCATGTTTGCTACCAGTCTCTTTGCTGCAATATTGTTTCATTTTTATTGAAAAAATCTTGAAAATATTTTTCTCATACACTAAATGTCAGCTTAATGTTACTCAACTCAAGCATAGCCTTTTGATGTTTAAAAATATGATGCTGCTAGAGGGACAATTGTCAATATAAAGGTTTTTGCTGTTATGTCTGCCTGTCAAAGACTCCATTTCTGCAAGATGAAGATCTACTAATTAGGATGTACCTATTGAATGTACCGGTATGTGCTATGCCCTATATTGACTTGAGTGTTGTACACAGAGGAGTACCAGCTTGAGATGATGCGTCACCTACGGAAGGTTAACGTGGACCATCTGTCAGTGGGCTGGTACCAGAGTAGCCAGCTTGGGAATTTTGTGACGAAGCATCTCATGGAATCTCAGTTCTCCTACCAGAGCAGCATTGAAGAGAGTGTCGTCATTGTCTATGGTGAGATCTATTGTCAAGGTAGAGATCCTTGGTCTATTGTGAGCTTCAATGTTTGTTGGTATTCCTTTTATGCTCATGATAGGTAGGTATTGAGGATAGCACAAGTCACGAAATTGGTTATTTTATAGGAACGAAGACAGTATCCTGATCAGGTTTTAGGCTCACCTGTGTCCAAACTGGTCCCAAAGAGAGTTTAAAAAATATTCCACCAGACTGATCTCTTGATCATCATTGAAGTAGGTTTTCCATAAAATGGTGTCGTTTTATCATATAGAGGAAATTTTTGATGTTGGATATAACACTTCTCTGAATTGCTTAGCAAGGGAAATCATAATTGCAGGAAATTTATTTTTTTATGAAAAAACAAAGAAAGATTGTGAATTATAGAGTGAAGTGTAATTTCAAATGTGCGAAGGAGGCGGTTCGAGTTTAGAGAAATGTTTGTAATTCCTAATGTATTTCCATTGTTCCTTCTTCCTTCTTTACCTGGCCTAAAAGATTTGGCTGCTAAAGCTGTATACTACTTGCAGTGCTTATATTGCGATCTGATTGGAAGTAGCTCCTTACTATGCTATAAACACTTACTTGAAGTTACTTCATATTGTATGGTGAAGTATCCAGAAATATATGTTCAAAAGTCTGGCTAGTGCGAGTATGGAATGCTGTTTTCAGAATTAAGTTTGTAAAAGAAATTAAAATATTGTTCCATGCCATATATGATTGTTTTGCTTAGAGAATTGGTAACACTGCAAATAATAAAAACACCAATAATACTTGTGCCTGTTAACATCACCTAAGAGATAAACTAAATAGCGTTAGATTAGAATTGGTATTTCCCCCCCTCCCCTCTCACGTTGAAGATAAGCAATTATTTTGGAAATTTTGATATTTTTTGAGTTATGATTTTATTTTTCTGTGTTGCATGTCTAAGAGCTTTCAAAACATTTTACCATTTAGAACCCCTTATCATTTTATTAAAAAACCTAGTATAACTTCTTTTATAAAATATTTTTATTACCAAAGTAATTAATAGTGAACGTTTTATTATCATGCCTAGATGTCAGACGCGGTAATTGCCAGCATCAGATTATCACTGTTATTTATTTTTCATTCTTAAGATCCCATCAAAACTGCAAGAGGATTCCTCTCAGTTAAGGCCTACAGGCTCACCCCTGAAGCCATCAACGTGATCCAGGAGCGTGAGTTTACCCCTGAGGTGCTGCGCAAGCTCAAGCTTGGCCATGACAACCTCTTCACTGAGATCAAAGTTGTGATTCGCAACTCTCCTCTCATCAATATACTTCAGTGCGAACTTTATGAAGTAAGTCCTGTCGTGCTGGGCGTCATTTTTCTGTTGTTTGATGAACCCACTCTCTGCTCTTTAGTGTGAACTCTATGTGCTATGTTCGCTATGATATTTTTAGGCCTCGGCAGGCATTTTCCTTAAACGTAAATTTTAGTAAACATTTCGAGCTATTCTTGATGTGTATTTGTTACTTGGAAAATATTTATGTATTCTTCCAAAATTTTTTTTTTGCAAACGGCATTAAAATAATTTTGCCTTAACTTCCTAAAGATTTTTCCGACAGCAAGTATCTGGAAAAAATGCCTAGCATAGTATTAGTTCGTGTTCTCATTTCATTCAGCTACTGCTTTGCTTCGAAGCCTAATACAACAAGAATCTTATTTTAGATTTTTGAAGAATTTCTGGGCACCCTACACGCCATGAAAAACCTAAACTTAAACATATTTCAGCAAATGCCTGGCCAAGAAGCAAGCCAATTCTTGGACCTTGGCTCTCTGTCAACGCTGGACCGGCAATTGCGATGCCTCATGGACAGCGTGGATGAACTCAACCAGGAGGCGAATAAATTCAACAGCTACCAGAGACAAGTGTCCAAGCTGCAGATGGACAAGCACAAGTACATGCTCAAGAGGGTAAGTCAACTTTGTGGCTGATAACTCAAATTCTGCTTAATAAACTGTACGCCTTTTATTTATTTTGTAAGTACGTGAAGAATATTCTATTCTAAGTATCAGGCCATTTGGTTCATGTTAAATAGATCAAATTTGGTAGATCACAATGTTTTTGGAAATGCTGGTTCATTTATGCTGACCTAATTGCATTACAATATTTCATCACTCCTATTTTCGATCTCAATGTTAATGTAGTTCTCATGGATTTGTTCTTCAATTTTACCTATTTACTTAACCATAATTTTTTGACCGCTATAATGAACCACTTGTGGGTATACTTGGTAATTTTCTGGTACTTCATGGTAACTGGTAATCTGAACTACCATGCCGTATCAGCTAATTGTCGATAGCCCCTGTAAAAGCGTACCTATTAAATTTGTCATATTTTTTAAATCCTTGCTTGGCTTAAATGACTTTTAAACATTTCTTTGCTTTAATGTTGTGTTGTGCGTACAGTCTGCAGAGAACAGTGCTCGCCAGAGCCGTGGAGAGCCTCCACTGCCAGAGGAAGACGTGGCCAAACTCTTCAAGCCGATCGCTCCTTTGCCTCGCCTGGATGCCACCGTTACCGCTGGTCAGATCAACAACTACTGCAAGGAACTCTCCCAGTTTTGCAGTCAGGCTCTTGGCAAACTTTTTGTGGCAAAGGCTTTACAAGACTCGTGATTTGGTTGTCTAAATCATGTGCGAGAGAAGTGGGCGAAAGTAAAATGAGTATTTAATGGAGTATTATTGTCCCTCATCATGTACGAAGGTTTTGCGCCACATGTTAGTTTGTTGGAATCTGTTAAGACTCATGAATTTCGATTTCACTTACAAACGTCGTTTCCAGAAAGGTTTCTCAACTAAACCTTGGCAGTCGCGACCAGATTTATGATGATTTAATTAATTTTGAACAGCATCCCGATGCTTCTGGAGAGAAGAGCCATTCCTACGTCATTATTTGGAAAGACTCATGATAAATACATTTCCAATTGAATAGACTATGCATGAGAACTAAATTCTTGAACATTGAAAATTTCTTGGCGTTGAACGCGAAGTAGTTGGAAACTAGCACGTCCTATTTACTTGATGAATGTAAGAAATAGACTAGCGCAATGTAAACAAACTGTGGCTAGCAAATATAAATCCCGCGGATGGGTCAGCCAAACAGCAACAGCAGGATTCGGCTAACGCTGAGGTCTATAAGTTACAGGACTCTCTAGTGGCAAATGTAGATGTATCCTACATAAATTTTTACTTCAAATTACCAATAAATTGTTGCTCACCGACTCACCGAACTATATTAGTTTCGCACTCAGTCACTTCACTTTAGCTTAATGGCCTGCCAAACAAAATCTATTCTTTATGTTGTTGTATGGGAATGGCAAAACAGTAGGGTAAGTTATTGTTTAATGATTTTGGCACAAATTCAAATGTGTGAAATAATAATTTAAATGAATTTGACAATTTATTAGCAACTAAACAGATTACCTAGTACGTAGTACCTACTGTACTTGCATGCCTCTCAAATCTTAATTCCTGCTCGTGCTTGTTAAGCTAGGCTACCTATTAGTAGCTAGGAGGCTAGGAGCATAGGTAAATAGCATGTATTTGTAAATTGTAAGCATTTACAAATCATAGCAAATGTATCCTATCAGGCTATCCTTGAACATTTCATTGCACAAGTGCCAGTCTCAGTCTGGACAGTGGAATATTAAAGTAATTCAACTGTTAAAATTATACTGAATGTTTACAAGAATTACAGGTAAAAGTGATCATCATCTAGTAGTTAATTTTGAAAAACCATAGTCAAAACTCAAATAAGTGCAATTTTTCCCTGGAAAAAATAGGTATATGACGGAAGTGCCCTAATTAGGAATATTGAATATTAGCAGAATTTTCCCAGAATTACTGATAAAGAATAATTTACTGGCATTTCTGAATATTTGCAGGCAAAAATATGGCACATTATTATTTTCTAAAAAAGTAGGTTCAAAGAAATAAAGTTATAAAAAAATTTAAAAAGAAATGTAAAAATTAGCCTATTGCCTAGGAGTTTTTGTTTTTTCAAAGAATACCTAACTAAACAGTGGACACAGCTGGTTTCTGTCCAATTATCCAAAATGCAAAGGTTCTCAAAGTCGTCCCAAAGGACTCGCCTGCTGGACAAAAGGGAGCCAGTAGACGCAGTGTACCTCGATTTTGCCAAGGCATTTGACAGTGTCCCACATGAGCGGTTGTTGCGTAAATTGAAGTCTTTGGGAATTGAGAGTAATGTACTCAAATGGATCAGAGATTTTCTAGTAGGGAGGCGACAACGTGTCAGTATTAATGGGTCCGTATCAGACTGGGCTTCTGTGCGCAGCGGCGTGCCACAAGGAATCGTTCTCAAGCCTATTCTATTCGTTGCGTTTATAAACGATCTGCCAGAAGCTGTGTCTAGCGTTTGCTCGATGTATGCTGATGACACAAAAATTTATAATATGGTGAAGAATACGTCGCAAAAAGTACAGTTGCAAGGTGATCTTGACAGGCTGGTTGACTGGGCTGATAAGTGGCAGCTGCGTTTTAACGCTGACAAATGTAAAGTTATCCACCTTGGCAAGAATGATGAACAGCAAGATAACAATATGAGAAGACACGGTTGCAACGACAGAGTGACGATGTCGAAGTCGACAACGGAAAAGGATTTAGGAGTTAATATCGACAATGAGTTGAAATTTTCTAAGCATATTGAAGGTCAAGTTAATAAAGCCAATCAACGACTTGGACTGATCAGACGCTCTTTCGAGTTCCTAGATTTAGAAACGATGAAGCAGTTGTTTGTTGCTGTCGTGCGCCCGAACCTGGGGTTTGGAAACGTCGTGTGGTCACTAAAATTTGAAAAGGACAAAAATTTAGTAGAGAGTGTTCAAAGACGCGCAACAAGGATAGTTCCGGGCTTGAAAGGCAAGTCCTATGAGGAAAGATTAAAGATTATGAAGCTTCCGAGCCTCCATTATCGACGTCTGCGTGGGGACCTCATTGAAGTATACAAATGCATTGTAGTAGAACTCTTCTAGTTACATATACAAAAGACAGATTTTAGGAAAGTGTCATAGTTTGCAAATGGGAGGCGCCGCCCCCAAATGGGCAAAATGTGACCACCTAATGGCAGCCGTGACGGGGTAACATAGACCGGTTTGGAAATTAAGTTAAAATTACCATATATAAGACTAGAGTCTGAAACATAAAGAAAAAAACATTAATAGGTATATCAAACATAATATATGTTATATAGGTACCTATGGTAATTTTAACTTAATTTCCAAGCCGGTCAATGTTACCCCGTCATGGCTGCCATTGGTCAAAGTTACCCCATTGGGGGGCGGCGCCCCCCATTTGAAAACTATGACACTTTTCTGAAATTTGTCTTTTGCATATGTAAGTAGAAGATTTCTACTACAATGCATCAAAACCTGGAGTTATTTTACCAAAAAATAAAAAAATTGGAGGGGGTACTCCGACAGGCTTTAAATAATAGCTCTTTTTTGTGGGTCACATTTTTAATTTTTTAACCTATTATATATGCAAACTTTTAAAATCTTTCTATTGTGTTACATAGCCTCAGTATTAGGCCTTTGATGGCCATTGACAAAATTTTTCTATGTCGAATCGTTTTTGAGTTTTGGGGGTTTTTGTTAAAAAAACGAAAAGTGGTCAAAGTTACCCCGCCGGTCAAAGTAACCCCATTTTACGGTATTTATTTAAAAGCCTTTAGAATTCAAATCTACAAAATCGCTGAATTCCGACACTGTGTGTGACTAAATGAGGCATATTGTAAGACTAATTCCGACAGCGCTTCAAAATTGTGATTCCGACTCCCTGTGTTGAATTCTGACACCTTGTGTGAACTGTGTCAGAATACAACTTCCTGTGTCACAGCTGTGTGTCGCAATTACCGACTCTGTGTTGGAATTAGTTTTTATGTGTCTAAAACCGTCTCTTAAATCAATCATCTATTAATTTATTTACCACTTAAAATCAGCAGATACAAGTATACTTAAAGGATTCCTAATATATTCACAGACTTATTTAAAAGTCTCAAACCATAATATTCTTTCTACACAAACAGTTTATCACTATTTGGTAGAGCAAGGTCAACTATCAACTTTGACACGCGTTTTGATGTTCTCACTAGTTGACTTGGACTTTCGCTCTGAGGATCTTATCATTTTCCCGCCAGACCTAGTGTTTTGCGGGAATCTGGCGCGCAATAGTATGACGTCACTATTTCAACCATCTAGGCATGCGTGGAACTAAGACCAAGCTTAATATAAAGGAAAAGTTGAGGGATGTCAGAATTACCCAGTGTCGGAATATGGTGCATTTACCCCAGTTGATTAATTCTCTTGAAATTTACTTTATTCTTCCAAATAAGAAATTTTTGGTGCATTTGTTCTTTAAATTGTTAAGATGTAGCCATGCTGCGTTTGGTCGGTTGCATTCACATTAGAAATACAAGTTATTCAAAAATGACATGAACCTTGTTTCTTTTACAGTTATTAACCCTTTACGCCCTGAATTTCTGGGATGAAAATCGTAAAATTCACTTTTTCTGTTTTAAGTCTCACTTAAAAGCTGACATTCTGACCTATCCAACGGTACCAAAATCGTCTCTGTACGTTGATTTATGCCTTGACGACAGTTCGTGAAAGGGTTAGGGGTGGGGGAGTTCTTTAACATTTAATATGGGCGAAAATTACTGGTCGGGCACATAAATTGACAACCTGAAGACGCTGCTCTTTAGTTACCCGGCTGCTGTCGTGTGGGATGGTGCTCATGCAGTCGTTC